TTGGTCAGCGCCTCTCGCAAGGCTTCGCGGGTCATCTTGGACAATCCCAGGAGCTCATACTGGGTGATCCTGGCTGGAATATTTTTTAGCTGCGCGAGTAGGTCGAACCGGAAGGGTCGACCACTTGAACTCGGCTTGTCAGGACTTGGCTGAACTGTCGGTGACAGTCCCATTGGTAGTCTTGTCGGACTCTCTGCTGTCGGAAGGTGGTTCTTAGCAAAGTCCTTTCCTGTTCGGGTGATCAATGTGTCTGCCTCCTTGTCGGAATCGGTGAGGGTTGCTACCTACGCTTTTTTATCGTTTGGAATTGCCGAAATGACATTACAAAGCTTAGATTTTCCTTTGGACTTGTTGGAAGTCCATTGCTCGTCACCGATGAGATCGGGATGTTATCACCTGTCCTGACGGTAAAGTCTGCGGCACCAAACCTTTTCCTCGTTGATTGTGAGGGTCGTCATTGACAATCTTCAGTTCCACCTTGGGAATGGGTACAACTCCTACCGGTGTATGAACCTCGGGGAGACCCGTTCCGAATTTAAGGGTGACCATGTTTGTGGTCATCGTTTTCTACACTTTCTCCTTCTTTAGGACTCCTGTGTCATAAAGAGTTTGCAGCTTATCCTTAAGGATATAGCATTTGAAGGTGTGGTGACTGACAAATCTGTGGTACGCACAGTAGCTTGGATCATCGGTCTTGTTCACGTCTTCAGGTTTCATGGCTTCTAGCAGCTTGATCCTTTTACACTTGTGAAGAGTGTTGAAGGTAGTCACCACTTGGTCTTTCGTGAAGTCGTATTGCCTTTGCGGGCACTGCTCGAAGAGCTTAGGCTTTTGCCTCTGTGTTGGTTTAGGGGTTGGAGTGGAATCGACAGCCATGATCTTCTGCCCTGTTGACCGAGGGTTCCTAGAGGTGTTAGGTTCCGAAGCTTTGCTCTTGGGTTGAGGCTCTTCGGCTTCCAATCTTTTGATCATGTTCTCGACTTGCTCACCTTAGCGAACAAGTTCCTTTCAGGTCTGGGTTTCCATCGTGTCGATCCTGGACAGAATGTCGATTGAGAAGTTGTTGCGGCACATCTCAACCAGGGTGCTCAAGGAGACTTGGTCCCGACACTTAAGTGACCGATTCCTGAATCTCTTGACGAAATTGTTGACTGAATCCGTCTTCTTTTGTTTGTTGGCTAGCAGGGTGGCCATCGATATTCTCGTATCGTCGTCGAAGAAACGGGCCTAGAAAAGCCTCTCCACATCAGCACATGAATTAATGGAGTCTGGCTCCAACTTGCAAAACCATTCAAATTGGACCAGACTCATTGGTTTGAACTTCGTCGGATATGCGATCGTATCCCATTCGAGCGGATACGGTCTGATCACCCCCAGCTCACTCATGTTCCTCTAGAGTTTCAAGGCGTTGAGTTGACTCTGGAACTCGTCAAACCTCCTGTCTCGGGGAGTGCTACATGAATGCGAGTGTCTTCCCGAGGAATTGTTGGAATAATCCGAGTATGGTTCGCGATTATCTTCTTCCTCGGTCGTGTGAGAATGAGTGAGCTCTCGCTCTCTGTTCCTTGAGGGTCGTCGTCAGTTTCGTGAATTCTTCTTCTTCTTCTTCTCGCTGAGAAGCTGTTTCATCTGCTCTTTTAGAGAGTTGATGGTCGTCTGCTGCTCTTCAAACTTTTTGCCAATTCTTCTGAGGATTCCACCATGTGCACTTTTGCGTGTTTGTCGTAGGTTGTGCTTGAGGTTTGAGATATTGTTGCTGCTGAGCACACCTCGTCCTCATTGTCATAGATGGGCGTCAAACGGGCATAATCGATTGGGGTAGCCGCTCATGTTTGAAGGCGAGTGCGTTGGTATACACCCCCCTCCTCAACGGACGGCCATCTGAATCCCGAGGCAGATTCAGGATCTGAGGAATTCGAATACCAGAATTTACCTTTACCTGCCATGTTGATAGTGGCTATCAGGAGTTCCAAGTCACTAATGACTTGCTTCTTCTGACGATGGCGTCTTCGGCGAGGATGTCTTGGCTCAGAAGACAGTTGAGAAAGCCTCCCGAACACCGATGGCTTCGGTGTCTCGTTGCACTGGTAGTCGGCAAGTACCGTCTGGATGAGCCTCTCGTAACGGCACTGAGGGTTTGCCTCGTGAATAGTGCGTTTGCGAGTTAGATAGTCTCTGAGATCCCCCACGGGTTGGTGGTGGCAACCCTCGACGTCACAAGGACCAGATGTGCAGTCGCATGGAGGGGACTCAAGTGAGTCGACTTGGGAACACTTGGGAAAATTCCCAAGTGTTGACTTCATGTGATCTTGCCTTGACAGGCGAGGTTCAAAGTTCGGGCGAGCTTCAGCCGACTGCTGGCGAGCTCGAGCCGATTGCTCATTCAGACGACCTTGCCTTAACAGGCAAGGTCTGGAGTTTGGGCGAGCTTCAGCTGACTGCTGGCGAACTTGAGCCGACTGCTTGTTTGAGTCGTTCTAGCTTTGCCTTTTTGGGTAAGGCTGGTTCTCAGGTGATCCTGCTGGAGTTCGCCTGGATGCTGGCTTCTATTTTAGAGGTGAAGCTCGCCTGTTGTGTGGAGCTTGCCTGCTTGAAGGCGTGGCTCGCCTGATCTGGGCGACTCGACTGATTTGGACGAATCGCCTGTTATGGACAGACGACTTGAAGAGCGAAGCCCGTCTGATTTGGTGGGCTCGCTTGAGTTGTTGGTTCCGCCCAGATGGGGAACTCAGCTATTGGAGTGAGGCTCGCCTGAAATGTCAGGCTCGCCTGGAACGCTAAGTTCGCTAGTTTTAGGAACTTTGCCAATGCAGGGGAACCCTCGATCCGACAAATTTGGGAACTTCACGTTCCTGTCTAGCTCTCTTTAGGCCTGAATAGTAATTCAGGTCATCGTAGAGGCTCCGGAGGCTCCGGAGTGATTGAGTTCGACTATACCCGAGCTTGAAAAGTATCAAAGACACGAGCTTGGAGAGAGCTACGATGCAAGAGTTTTCAAAGAGCTGATGAGCCTCAAATATGAGAGTTTAGATTGAGTCTACCTCAACAATCCAAACAATGAGCTAAGAATGTTCTACCAAGCAAGTGAGCCAAAACAAGTTTCTGATTGAAGAGCATTGCCAATAGAAATACCAAGCCTAGCCAATCAACCCCTTTCACGTTGGTTGAAGGAGACTTTAAATAGACAAGGGATGACATGAGTCATCCCTTGATTTGTGGAATTTGACCACTAATGGATGAGGAGCATCATGCCCTCCCCTAACTATGAGATGTAACCACTATAAAGGTGATGAGAGCCATGCCTCATCATCACTCAGGACGTGGGAAGTGGGTAGGCCCACTCCCACAAGCATGCAGCCTGCTTGCATTGCTCAGACGATGCTGACAAAACTACGGGCGAGCTTGAGAGCTGTCTGAATGCTCAGGCGAGCTTGCAGGCGAACTTGACGAACAGACGGGGTCGGCGCTGGCGTGCCCCTCCAACGTGTGAGCTGGCGTTCGAGTTCGTGCGGGCGAACTCCCTGTAGGCGTGCCTGGCTCGTGCGGGCGAGCAAAGCATTCAGGCGAGGTTGAACTCGTACTGGCGAGCTCCATGATTTGGCGAGCTTGATTCATGTGGGCGAGTCAAGTTAACAGGCGATGCTTGAGCTCTGCGGGTGAGCTCAATAAACATGAGAGATTGAGCTCTACAGGCGAGCTCCATAAACAGGGGAGATTGAACTTTGCGTGCGAGCTCAATAATCAGGCGAGGTTGAGCTCTACGAGCGGCGAGCTCAAGTAAGGAGAGGTTGCTGAGCTCTGCGGGCGAACTCAATAGACAAGCGAGGTTGAACTCTACGGGCGAGCTCAATGAACAGGGGCAATTGAACTCTGCGGCGAGCTCAATAGACAGGCGAGGTTGAGCTCTACGGGCGAGCTCAATGAACAGGGGCGATTGAGCTCTGCGGGCGAGCTCAATAGACAGGAGAAGTTAAGCTCTACGGGCAAGCTCAATGAATATGGACGATTGAACTCTGCGGGCGAGCTCAATAGACAGGCGAGGTTGAGCTCTACGGACGAGCTCAATAAAGGAGAGGTTGAGTTCTGCGGGCAAACTTAACAATTGGGCGCGCGAGCTCAATAAACAGGCGATTGAGCTTTGCGGGTGAGCTTTGCTGGGCTTCGTTGAATGCAAACGAGCCCAAGCTATTGGCCGGCGGGCTTTGACATTTAGGCAATTTTCACTATCTACATTTTCATGGAAACTCAAAATTAATTAACACTTAATGCTAACAGTAGGTTTATCTTTCGATTCAATTTGGCAATGATATGCTTTTGTTAGTATGATTATTTGTTCAATGCCCCCTTCGTCCTTCAGTGAGAAGAATGTATATACTCTAGTCAAGGTTATCGATAGCGGATTGCATCGCGTAGCGGTTAGGTAACGCAAAGGCTATTTGCGCTTATAGCGACAAAATAGTAGCAAATAGTGCATAGGCAAATAGCGGTCAAATAGCGCATAGTCTAATAGTGTTGGTGGAGAGAGTTCCAGAGATGGTGGAGGTGATGGAGGGAGCACCGGAGATGGTGGGGTTGGTGGAGGGAGCTTCGGAGATGGTGGAGATGTTGGAGGAAGTACTGCGGCTAGGGTTTTTTCTCTTTTGTGACTGCGAATCAAAGGCGCACAGGGGGTTGGGGATAGTATTTTGATAGGGTTTTAATGATAAAACGGGTTGGGTTTGGGTATGAGTCGGGTAGAATAGAAAAGCTATTCACTGAAAAAAGAGTCGCACTTTTAACAGCTAAAACCCGCTATGTCTCGCAATCACGAGCAAATAGATGTTTTGGCTGATATTTGCTATTGCTTTCGTTGATAGTGACGCTATGCACCGCGATTTACAACAATGACTAGTTCTTTTGTAAATCTTTACAAGTCAATTCTTAACATTTTCTATTTTCTGCGAATAGTAGTCTTTGTAGCTAGATCTTCAGTTTAACAGCTTCGGTTAATAATCTTTCAGCTGTCGGAAAGTCTGATCCCAATCACAGAGCACAGGAAGCCATTGCGTCCTCTTCGAAGAACACACAGTATGCAGTGGTAGGGCATTTATCATTCCCCTTGTGTAAATGAAGAGACATGGTTAAGGCCTGGGTTTTTTTTTCATTCATCAAGATCCCATGTGGCCACCTGCAACATATACACTTTAAATGTGTTACTAAAATAGATGTAAGACGTGAGTGTAGTCATAAGATCTCGATAGTCGATCCCTGAGAGGGCCTGAGATATGTATTAACTCGGTACTTCAGACGTGTTGCTCTCGTTGATAGCGTGTAGAGAGATGGTGAGAATAATATATGTGTATATCTTGTGTAAAGATGTAATTTTCAAATGATTCTGTCTGATCAAACATGCTGTAGTTCGTTTATGAACAGATGAGCCCGAGAAAATTCCCCTTTGGGCATTATGAAAGATGTATACGGTATATAACGGTAAAGCTTAGCAGAACACCGTCCGCTGCCACTAACCCTCTGTCATATAGGCTACGTAGCAGAGCAATCTCATTCGATCGATTGGAGAAACATAAGAATATAACATGGCTTTGCGCTTATTATTCAAACCTTTGGTACTACAAAAAAAAGGTGTTGTTTTGTATTTTAGGGTTCTTTTCCATAAATTATCTTCTTGCTATTCCTTAACCGCCTCATGCTGCAAGATCAATTGATGGAAGAATAAATAATTTTTATATCATGAAAATATAAAACAGGCCAAAAAGAGGTTGGTTTTGAAAAACTGGATGTTCGAAACATAAAGGACTATTAGTCCTGGTTATTTAGTGGCTATTAATTGGAGAGTAAATCACACCTAAAATCTACAAGACTAGTGATTTTGCTGTAGATTACAGAAGACAAATAACGGTAAAAACGTAGCCATTTAATATAGGGAAAACACTAGAGGCACACATTGTGCCACACCTTGGGGCACACCTCCCTCTCTCAGCTACAGTGCATGGGGCTTACTTGAGATTTTTAAATAAATCTCAAGTGGGTCCCATACACTGTAGCTGAGAGAGGGGTGTGCCCCAAGGTGTGGCATAAGGTGTGCCTCTAGTGCCACCCTTAATATAGTTCACTGAATCTGGTAGAGCTACGTGAATAAGAAAAGGATGTGCTTATTGACTTCTTGGAACAAGGATTCAGCACCCAAATCTCACCAAATAACATGGTTAAATCTCAAAAGAAGATTGAGTAATACCAACAACAAAGAGGAAGAACAAAGAAAATCAATACCTGAGAATTTTAACCATAGATCCAAATAGGCACAGAAGAAAATCTCTGAAAATTGGAGACTTTCACATTTCTGACAATTAAAAAGCTAAGGAATCTAAGCACAATCTTTCTGTCAGGAATCCAAACTTTTCTTCCACTGTGGGCATCCTCCAACTTTGCTCTACCCTTCTGAAGTCAACTACAAGCCTCCCACACTCAAATCCTTACACAAGAAATTCTGAACTCAGAACAGAAAAGATGAAAACTTTACTACCAAATCCCAATCTTTCATCAAACCCATCTCTCCAAATAGCCATGAGACTCGAAAGAACCCATCTTCAACTGCATGCAGCCACCATCGAAGAAAAGGAGGGGAGAGGGGTGTTTTGGGAAGAAACCAGGAACGCTTAGAGAGGAGAAGGGTTGGCAGAAAACCCATGGACAGAATCCTCCTTGGGTCAGAAAGTGCCCATAAAGAGCCTCTAATCGATGTAGAGTTGTAGACTTTGAGGGATGATTACTAAACAAAATCTACGGGACTACTAGTCCCGTAGATACTCGTCAATTAATGATCACTAAACATACAGGACTAATAGTCACGTATGTTTAGAATGGGCAGTTTTTCAAAACCAATCTCTTTTTGGCCAACGATGTTGTTTTTGCTAAATAATTAGCAAAACGATTTGTTTTGCTAATTATTTAGCAAAAAAGTTCTGTTTAAAAAAAATCATTGCAGAATACATTGTTTCTCATCTGCTTAAGAAATGACAGGAGTTGACCATTCACAAACTACTCACCAATTGCTGCGAAAAGAAAATCACTAAAACTTGCTTTGACAAAAGGATTAAAAAAGGCATTGAACATTACAGAGGTTCCAAGTTTTCTAAATTTTTGGACGTTAACCGTATGGCATTTCAAAACCACCCATTTTTTGGGCGTTGGCATGTTCTTTCAGAGAACAGAAGTTATAGATGAATGGAATGAGGAATGTATTAGAAAACCTCAAGACATTAATCCAATAAAAAAAAGCAACAAATAGTATTGCAGCTCTTTCACAAAAGTGGGAAGACATATCCAAGAACCCTCTATAGAAAATCACAGAAGGAGAAAAGAACACAAATTTTAAAGTTGGCGGTACAGGCATCTTAAACACAAGTTTTGAAGTCGGCAATTGTACTGATACAATATTCTAGTTGCATTAATACAATAAAAAAAAGACCTGACGCTATGATCAGGTCATCACCCAATAAAGAGAAGCTTTTCAAGTACATGAGACAAAACTGTATGTTAAGATGTTTCAAATGTTCATTCTAAAGTTACTTGGTCGAATGTTGCACAAATTCCAGTGATGCTTGATTGGTGACGTAACCAGCAAACGGTTGTTCAGAATGATATTTAATCTGATAATGTAGCACAAAGCAACTAGAAATACAAAACAGGACTGCCTTGGTGATGCGACTGTCAACTTGCTTTGACTAGCTCTGAGATCTTAAGATCTTGCCTCTCCTGCACAAGGTTAAGAAATGAAAACACAGCATTAGTTTCTTCGCTCAATCTGTATGAAAGAATAGGATCCATACGAAGGGAATGCACACTACAGCAGCCAAATAATGGGAACAGACAAGACAATCCAGATTGGATATTGAGTTATGCAAGACATTCTTTTGCATTATTATCATGTTAAAATGATGACTTTTGCCTTTCTTATAACTGTACTGTGAAGTGGGTATTGAAATCATATTCTCACTATTAAACCAATTTGATGCAGCGGCATCCTATTCAAGAATCGAGGCAGATGGCTTTCGATGTGTTAGTCTTGTTCACAAGAATTGCAAGCAAGCCAAGCCATGTCTTTAGTCGGACAGACCATCAAATAATAATGTGTTCAGGTCTGGTCTAGAAATATAAGGACGGTGTAAAGTCCAAACAAACCAACCCACTTAACCATCAGGCCTGATGCAAACTATTAGTTTTTAAACCGTCTTTGAAAACCTTAATAGTAGCTTAAACATGAGGCCACACATGCAACCTTTATATGTATTCTCTGAAAAGTCACTTTCTTATATGCAACAAGAACATCGAAGGGGCTAATGCAGTAACATGGCAAAAGATTTGGAAGATGTGGATTTAGACTAATATTAGGGGTGGCAAACGGGTCAGGTCGGGTCATAGTTAACCCGACCCGTATAAGTGTGACCCGACCCGACCCATTTAATAAACGGGTCAATGCGATCCGACCTGTTTATTAAACGGGTTACCCGACCCGACCCATATAACCCGAATGACCCATTTATCAAAACTCTTTTCAACAAAGCCCAGGCCTTTGTGAAGTTCAATCCTTTCATTTCAATCTCTTTTGCGGCATCAGCGTGGATAGTCTTGGCATTGAGTCGCACTGCGAGCACCTCTCCAACAGGGGGCAGTAGCCTTGGCATTGCACGCCCGCCTGCACTGGTCCCGCTACAAATTTGTGAAGGCTAGCTTGCAATCACATAGAATGTATACAAACACTAACAAATTTCTGCATTCGTTCCATATCAATCAACAGAAGATAAAACAGTCAACAATAACCTGTAAATAGAACAAACAGTAACTATCAAGTAGCAGGCCTACAGCTTTTTCATATATTCACAAATTGGTAGGGCTGGAAAATCAACAGAGAGATACTTTAAAAAATATGAAGTGCAACTGATCTTGATTCTAATGTCCATCAAAACTGGACCTAAATCCACCAGTAACCGAGATTTTGCAAAACAACCACCAGGCCTCCAAATTTCGGCGAATTAGATCTGCCATTCTCGAAATCATCTAAGCTACCCTATTTCATCAAGAATCAAGAATTTAGAGAACATTACCCGTCCCCATGAACGGCACGAAATACTCAGCAGTAATTGAGACCCTCATCTCGGCAAACACATCGACGACCGCCATCCTCGAGGGCTCCTCGTTGTCGCAGAGGACGCCGTCCATGTCAAAGAGAACAACTGAGACCTTTCCCCATTCCATTCCCTTTTCTTGATTTGATCCCCTCGCTTCCTCTACTTGCTCCTGCTGTCGTGAGGAAGCTCGGCCAGCGGCAAATCGACGTCGACTAGAAAAGACTAGGGTTAGGATTAGGGTTTTCGTTTGAGAGCGTCAAAGGAGGAAGGAGATCGGAGGGAACTTGGAGCCTGGAGGAATGGTGAGGGAAGTTCGGGTCAGTTAAACGGGTCAGTTATTGGGTTACTCGGGTCAGTTCAGGTCAACCCTAATTTACCCATCTAATAAATGGGTCAGTTCGGGTTGACCCATTTATGACCCGACCCATATAATTCGACCAACACCCATTATAAACGGGTCGGGTTGATGGGTCGGGTTATAATTTGTCACTCCTAGATTTAGTCAAGTACATCAAGGCTTTTATAAGCAGATACTTCCAATCACGTGTCAGTGAATGGCTCTGTAACATTGGATCTGTCAAATAGGTTAGGCATGGGCATGACCCACTGTTTTAAAAAACCTCCGCCTAGTCCGCTTAGGCGTACGCATAGGCCTAGACGGTACCTAGGCCGCCTAACTAGCGCCTAGTGCCTAGGCGGTATTTAGGCTGCCCACCTAGATTTTACGAGTTTAGGGAAGCATTGTCTGCTTACGTGGATTGCACCCTGTAGGCCTTGATTGTGATTTTATGTGTCGTAGCCTACACGTCCTCCAAACTCCATTAACCTCCAAATATGAACACCTCCACTACCTCCTTCGACCTTCAGCAAAACCCTATCGACCACCACTTAAATGAAGAAAGAAAAAAAACGTCTAGAAACCGCTTAGGCACCCGCCTAGGAGACTAAGCGCTGGGCGCCAAGTTCGACGCCTAGAAGAGCCCAGCGTTTAATGTAACATTGGCATGACCTGTGTATATAATTGGGCTGATTTTTTAGATGGATAACAGGGCTATCGATATTATGTGAAATGATTAGGAATTGGGCTGATTTTTTAGATGGATAACAGGGCTATCGATATTATGTGAAATGAATCTTAGGGGTGGCAAACGGGTTGGGTCGGGTCAGGTCATAGTTGACCCGACCCGTTTAAGTGTGACCCGACCCGACCCGTTTAATAAATTGATCAATGTGATCCGACCCGTTTATTAAACGGGTTACCCGACCCGAACCATATAACCCGAATGACCCGTTTATCAAAGCTCACTTCAATGTCATGAATACTATATTCAACCATCATCTGATAAACTAAAAGACATTCAAATGGTTTGAATCAGAAGACCACAGCCTCCTTTTTAAGTACCTGACAGTTCACACACCAAATGAAGAATAATGTGATTACGACGCCTCAAAATGCAGCAAGATGATAACCTAGCTAATAAATAACGCGAGATTACAATCCATCTCTCACAACCTTAATCTTACCTTCATATATCTATTTTCTTTTTTCTGGGTACGGAAATAATCGACCTCTTTAGTGCTTAAGTATTCAATTTGTAGATTTCTGGTAATATGTATTCTCCTTATAAATGAGACTCCACGAAAGAACAATTTTCAATCCTATATTTGATTATTATCTTTAGAAATTTGGCTGTATGTTGTGGGTTCGTCTCCGATCGTGAATTAGATTCGGGTCGGGTACGATTAGACACCCAACCCAATTCACCCATAGACCTGTCCGAAATTTGAAAGATCATCGTCCAGACCCAAACCCAAAATTCAAAGAACCAAATCTAATAACTTTCATCACGATTCCGCCACCTCCCTCTCTCCTTTCTGTTTCGTATCTCATCCTGAAATCCTTCCTCCAATTCTAAACTCAAAGGCAATTATTTCTAAACCTCACAATTAGATCCATTTTAGGTTTTAGGGTTTCGATTTGGAGCCAAGATGGAGACTTGCCGACGGATCTCGGCGAGCCTAAGGCCGTGCTCCGGCCGGCAAATCACAGCGAGAAAGCGGCTGAGGGTTTTTGAAAGAGTCAAGGTTTTGTGAGAATCACTATTCATCTTCATATTTGGAGTCTGGACCGTAACCCATTTAGAATTAAACAGGTAAGTTATTGGGTTACACGGGTTAGTTCGGGTCAACCCTAATTTACCCATCTAATAAACGAGTTCGGGTTGACCCGTTTATGACCCGACCCATATAACTCGACCCACACACCCAATATAAACGGGTCGGGTCGGGTTGATGGGTCGGGTCATAATTTGCCACCCCTAGTGAAATGGAGGTACTAACACTGAATACAGAGAACTATGCATATTGGTAATAAAATAAAAAAAATGGAAGAAAAAATTCACAGCCTTAGAACTAACTTATTCTACAACTAGTGACAAGTTATTGATGAAAATAACTGAAAAGAAAACTGAATGCATTTATATGAAAAGTGCAGAAAACTGGAAGGGATAAATAATACTTGCCAGCTCAAGACAGTTAATTTTGAAATCTTCCAGATTCACACCATCCAACCAATACATCTTTTCTTGCACACTGCAGTTATATAGATAATTCAATATGTCAGAGAACAGATTTTAGGCTTACCATCTCCTGTTTCCTTTTTCTTCCAAAAAAATATGTTTTTTCGATATTAGCCCCTTAGAATCATCACCATTTTAGTTCCCCAAATTGCATTAGTATGTCGATACTAGTCCCTTTGTACTATTTTTGTTCAAACCCTCAACCATGATTAGGTTAAGACTAACCATGGCTAGCGAATTACCAAAATACCCACCCCTATGCAATGCCTCAATTAAACTTCCCTCCCTTCTAACCCGCATTCCCGCTCACATTAAGATGAATACATTACTTATCTCAGGTCCTTTACGGTCTAGTCCCCTTTCAACATTACTTATCCAAAAGCGCCCAGTTCCACCCCACAGACATCCTGAGATGCAAGCCATTAGAGTAACGATTGAGGAGGGAAATTAGGGGCTTGTGAGTTTATATACCTGGATTTTGCAGTCGAAGCTGGAGACATGAGAAGTGAACAGTCTCTGGAGAACCCCCTGGCAACAGCTTCCTCGGTCGAGGGAGAAGCCCTTTTCTTGTTCGGCTTCATTAGGATCTCCTCCCCCTTAATCATTTCTCCTCGATCTGCTAGTTCTTACTCCGCATTGCATGTGAATTAACAACATAGTAGTAGGAGGAGGAGCACAATCAAGAAAAGAAGCAGTAAAGGAGTTCTTGTCATCTCTTGAATTGGATTGGTTTCTTCTTCTGATAATGCTCCACCGTTATTTGCTTCGTTGAACTGGGGAAATTGTGATATGGGATTTTTTATTTGGTTCATGGTTAAGAGAGAAAGAAAGAGGTTAGGAAGGAGATAGACGATGTGGATTGAGAGCTTGGAGTATTTTGGCCATTAGTAAGAAGAGCATCAGGTTTTCTCAGTGTAAATGGACCATTGGAGAAGAAAGTGGCGAAACGGGTTTAAACCGGGTTTGGGTTTAAATATCTTATTGAGTTTAAATTTATGGGTAGGTGGGTCTGGCGGATATAATTGTTCTTTTTAGTAAGAAGTTAAAACTTAACAGAATATTCTCAATCATTTATAACTCACCTAACCACAGGGACTAATATCAACATACTAATGCAATTTGGAGACTAATATCAAAATATGAGGATTTGGGGGAGTAATATCAAAATAGTGATGATTTCTGGGACTAACATTGAGAAAATCCAAAAAAAATTATGCAGAAAGAAGAATACCTTACTAAAACCAAGCCAGTTAGAATCTCCTCTGAACGCAAATCTTTTTTTGTTGTCCCTCCATTGCCCACAGGAAATCTACAAAAACGGCTGCTGCTTAATACAAGCTAAATGACATCCTTAACAACTTCTCAGTTAATAACAGAAAAGAATTCTACATTGTGCTTTAGTCTTACCTAAGAAAGGATGCACAGATAGTAACAGTACGTCCATGATTATAGTTGCTTATCCAACTCTAAGGTTGTTTTTCTTATTTATACAGTCATTTACCAAGCCGACAATAGCTACAGTGTGAACGGCATCTTTCAGTTAATTCCCACCTCTACCTAAATGATAACATATTGATTATGGGCAAATTACAGTAATAATACCCTTCCAGACGTAGACCTCGTCACAAGACAAACTGGCCCGCACACTCTTACGCTACCATATAACAAAATTGCAAACTGAACTAGACAAGATTTGTTTCTAATTAGATGCACATGGAAGTGCTTTTATGAACATAAATAGAATAAAACTAAATTCAATGTGCCATGTTAGCGTCGAACAAGGCAATCTCAATATACAACTAATTCCCCATAAAATGGATAATCATTAATATCTACAAGAGAAAATATTTAAGGATACAGTTTGTACAAAAAATAAAAATGAAGAAAACCCATTGAAGTTTTTTTTCATTCAGGATGGTAGTTTCAGTTCCTTGGACTTTCAGAAAACTGTAACTAAATTATTTGTTTCATGGGCATCCTTCATTATGTGTTTTAAGCAGTTGACTTCAATTACCTCAATGGAAATATTCTACAGAGTTAACATTATATCTATTTTCTTCTTTGAATGCTAGCGCAATTGGAATCTTCTCCCTTTATTTATTTGTTTATTATTATTTTTTTGGTGTTTTACATGCCTGTTGTTTATGCCTTCTCTTTTGTTAGTGTTGGGGCCCTTGGGGGCGTGTTTTGGTTTATTTTACCCTTTTCTTTGGGTGGATGGATTGGGGTGAGGGTTTTTTTTTTTTTTTTTTTTTTTGGGGGGGGGGGGAACCTTAAAAAATCAACCTCTTTGTTCTTGAAGGTAATTACCTCATAGTCAGCACCTTGAACATATATATAGCCATCATCTAGTGACGAAAAAGAGAGACCAGTTATCTACAATGACAAGAAACTCACAATTAATTGTCCGGATCAGTGTAGTCAGTTGAAGTGGAATGCCCAAAGAATGCCCAGACATAATCATGTCTCGAATAGGAAAAGGAAAAAAAATACAAAGTGCCCATCATCTATAACTCAAACTGAACAGGAAAAATGACGAAACAAACCAAACCTCATATTTTGAACAATTCACCCATCTTGACAAGGCTGACCACCTGAACTCAGCAAGTGAAATAACACATCATTGATTCATCAAACAATAAGGCAAAATCTTGACACAAATTAATATACAATATTTCTTAGCTCCTTATAATAAACTATTATACAACTGAATTCAATATTGGGCACTGGACATAAATCTACAGTCGAAGTACCACTTGCCTGCGAGGATCATAAATGGTCACAGTTCGATCAGATCCACTAGCTGCAATAGGTCCAGATGGGGAACTACAAACAGCATATATGAGATCTCCAATGGCACCACAAACACGTTGCACACAACCATTGTTCGAGTTTGTTCTCAAGTCCCATACACTTAGCTAAAGTTGAACAAAAGGTGAGAATTATTATAAAATATTCTAGGAAATTTAACCACATCAATAGAAGCTTAACCTGAGAGCCTTCAGCAACAATAAGAATAGAGCTTGTATCAGCAGCTAGTGAACTTTGTAGAAAACTAAATGAAGCTGGATACCACAATCTGTAGCATAATTATTAGATAGCCGCATGAGAAAATATCAGAATCATATTTCAATTGCATTTTATCATAAAATTCAAGGCTCATGTTCATCAAATTAAAGATTTACAATCCTTTGTACAACACATCAAATGTCAGAGTCAAATTGTGAAATGGCACCAGTGCATCGTTGCAATAAGTATTGTAACTGACAAGGAAAATAAGATAATATTACATCCGAAACCTCAATTCAGATCGGGAGATAAGAAATGTCTTTGGAGAAAGGTCCAGAATGTGATGAAAGCAGGCTAGTAAAGGGTACTAAGGGAGGGATTTCGGTCCTAGAGACTACTAACTAGCTTTACATAGGCAAATGTTTCTCAAAAAATTACTAATGGTGAAAATGCTGCCAATTACAAAAAAATAATAAATACTTTATGTACTTTCGGTTGGAATAACTAGATCAAGGAGATTCGACATTAGTGCAAGATTTCATCAGTGATTTGAGGATGCAATTTATTGTACACTAGTTCCTATGTTTTAACAGGACACAATCCAATCCATTTCGAGGTCATACACAAGATCTGATAATTTTAATTCAAAGTACCAATCTTAATAATAATAAGATATTTGTCTTTTTTTATAACTATCTACATGGTAAACACAGTAGTACAGGTTCACAAGCAGAAGCAATATCAGATTTATTGCACCCCCCCCCCCCACCCCACCCCAACCAAAAAAAAACTTAAAGGATACAATAATTTTTCACACCCTTTAATTTAACAGAAACATTTCCCTTAAATCCCTGATGTCAAAATACCTGCCAAATATTTGTATATTCCTTTTATAAGATGGCCTACAGACTTATATTTTATATCACGTCAAAAGACCATGGGTAGGGCTGAAAACAGACAAATTTGAAGTAAAAAGTGCTTTAGGTGTGTTTTTTTAACTAATGTGTTCTTATGATGGGGACAATCTTCCATGTAGTCTTAAAAAAATTCCTCATCTCAACAATTGTACTGAAATCCAACAGTTAACTGCAGTTGTTATAGGTAAAAACTAGTTGCCCTTTTATACAAAAAAGACCTTAAAGAATAACAACAAAATTATTGCAACTTTCGCCTAGAGAACACGTAACACTTCATCAGTGCATCTCTTTAAGCAAATAAAGGTAGACATGTCCATAAGTGTCCAAGTTATTGACATGGATGACCAGGCATGTCATATCAAACAAGATAGACATGCCGATTTTCAGTAGGGTGAAAAATTCACCATCTCATAGAGTAAAAAATCAACAGGTATTATGAAGCAAAAAAGGAAGAGAAAATGTGAAGCAACTGAGAGAAGTGAGGCATAGTTCAAGAGCTAAAATTCAACCCAGCGTAGAAAATTGATATACTTACGTGCGTAAACTTCGGAGATGAATATCTTGATCATAGACATTAATACTTTTGCTGAAACTATGTGCAACTGCTGCCTGGGAAAAATGTAAATTTTAGAACTAAGAGGCAAGTATAACTGGAAGCAACCTAATGAAAAGCCTATACAATTTTCAGCAGAAAAATATAACTGGAAGGTAGGACAAAACATCAAAATAACACATGTTCCTTGATGATATACATATACAACAACTAAATATGACATTATGCATAACAGATAAATTTGGCATGATACATGTCATGCTTGTCACTGATGATGTTTCCAAGCTAAGTAATAAATATACCGATCTTCCTCCCTAATCTGATATTATAGTACTGGTATAGACAAAAGTTTCGTTATGGCCCAATTCCGAACGATAGTAAATACCGAGACTTTGCAATATTTGATTGATCACAATTCTGTATATTCCATTTACTATAAAGGTTCCCAGGGAATTCATTAGAGGAATGTTTCCAATAAAAACGGTTAGTTGTTGCATAAATTCATATTTGACAAAACAAACAGGCTCTTCCAAATAATAAAAAAGTTAATTAATTTTCCACTATAATTCAACATAAATATTGTAATGAATCTATCCTTGCTCTTTTCGAACCCATGGCACACTGGGATTACAGATGATTAAACGTACATCACAAAGTTGTAAATAGAAACTATGTCATTTTGATTCATCATACTATAATTGCCAGTCAGTGCAATGGTGTTTCGGTTAACACTGAAAGTGCTGATAGTTGTTTTAAGAAATTCAAAATCAATTAACAGAAAATTATTTCTTTAGTTTCTAACTCGTCTGTAAAAAAATTTAGGTGACAACATATGGAGGTGTTTACATGCATTGCATGCCCATGTGGAACAGATACAATATAGCTATGATTCTAAACAGTAAGCATTAAAAGTCAAACAAAACTGCACAGTGCAATCACATCATTATTGAACAAGCGAAGAGTTTACCGTAGACCAACACACTGGGCTGAAGCAGATTCCAGCCCAACTGCTCTCCCATATACCACAATGCCGAGGTGGTACTGAATACGAGAGCCTGTCAAAATCTGAAAAAGGTTATGTGTGGCGTGTCAATGAAACATTGTACTATAATCTATTAATCTAAAGCGTAGTAGTTATACATGTAGCAGGTTGGCCCGAAAGATTACATATAAAACCACAAAGCATCGTATACCAATATATCAGATTCTAGTAGTCCATCATCTTGTAAGCTTAGGTAAATCTCTGATATGCTCCTAAAAGGGGTATAATTACAAAACAAGACTTCTGCACATTAAGCCACAGTTGCCCCGAAAAAAAAAAGCAGTAGAAAGTATAAGCTACTGCAAGACAGAAGTTAGTTTACATTATTATAAAAAAAAGGAAGAAATGAGAATTGGGAGAAATGCTACGTTATTCACCTAATAGATTTGCTTATGTTCAGACCTTAGCAATAATATCAAATTGACCAATGAATGCACAAATTTATGCATTTTCGAGGAGCTGAGTCAACATGTAGAAGCCTTTGTTTTGGTTCAGGCTTATGCACTTATGCTATATGGGGTTCAACAACATGACTCTTTGCCCCGATCTTTTATACTCTTATACCCCTTAACATGTGTCCCATCCCATATGTCCTAAACTTTTAATTACAAAATAAGAATTTAATAGGAATACGTGAATCAAAACCTAATATGATCTTATATAAAGGTTATATCAAATTCAACATGGGTCATTCCACTTGCATTTTATACACATCAAGAAACTTTTTCTAAGCATTATTGCATAGTAGTTTTTGAACTTTTTTCTAAGCATTGAAGCATAGTAGAGTTTTGATGGAAAAAGCTTAAATGATTATAACTATTTATGTGCACACAACAAATTATTTTATCTGAACACAAGAATTATTGAGAAACACAAGGTAATTTGTTTTGTCATGAAACACAAGAAATATATATTAGTTTTCCATGTCTGGAGAAGAATTCACAGTTTATAACCAAACCAATTGACTAGTTGAATTTGATTCAATTTGCAGCTAGTTCTGTTAGATGAAAAAGAAAATTTATTTCAGAATGTGTATCTTAAGACTCCATCAAATTTGATTTAGGAATTTATTCTATGATGAATTACTTTCTCCATTTCCTATTTCATTCCAAATCAATTATTAAGTCTTTATAATCTTGTACTACGCTGATGAACTGCCAGATATACATTTCAGTAATCAATTCTAAATCTGGAACCAATGCTTGATCTTCAGCCTCAATATATCTGTAGAAATTAAGAATCAAGTAATACCAAGAGGCTTCTAGTTCATGTATAATCAATAACCTAACATGAAAGATGTTCTTAATTACCCTAACATGCAAAATTACTTTAGCATGCAACAAAAGAAGCATAATGAACAAGATGTGCTAAGGAACAACGAATATGGAAATGAGCCTACAACATAATGTCTTTCCACAATAAAAGAAAGATGAGGTCATGGCAAGATAGCATACCAATCAATGTCAAGTGAAAAAATCAAGAAATAAATAGAAATAGCACCTGAACCAATGGTATCCAATCGGGAAACAATCAGATGACCATAAGAATCCACAGAACCCATGACTAAGCAATCATCACCTGCACATGAAACAAATACAAAGAAGAATTAGCAAAAAGACCATAACAAGATAATGACTGACGGAGGACTGAAATGGAAGAAGAAAACAAGAATGTCCGGAGACTGCATGATGCACTTCCTCGGCTCAGTCCCAAAAGTTGTTTTAGCAAAAAATTTCGGTGGGATAAGAGGTATTGAGCTCAATATATTTGTTGATTTTTCTTTATCTATCCTTGACAGCTGAAGAGAAATGGAAAATCAAGAAAAGAGTACAACAGGAGATTATACAGCGATGAGTATGGGGAACAGAGACAAATTTATGTTTGGAGGGGTTTTTTTGGCAGGTAGAGGACTGTGGGGCATGGTTAAGCAAGTTTAGCAATTAGCAGTTACTATCTCAAGAAACAGGACCTGTAACGAATAAGGATGTTGCTCGGAATAAGGATACTGTTGGAAGCTACTTTTTCCTTTGTATCCTTTGATTGTTTTGCATTTACGAAGAACAACGCGAGTTGTAAAAAATTCATTTTCATATCTAGAAACCTAAGCTACAAAGACGATTGCATGAGCAAATTAAATTGACGTGAAGTAGAAAAGTGAGTTGAACTGCAGTAAGATTATACTATCTTAATACTTTGCTTTAGATGTACACAGGCCAATTTACAAGACCATAAGATCCGTACATCACAAGAACTACATCATTTCAAATAGTAAAAATATAATTGTATCCTGATTCAGCATATAACCCTATAAAAAACCAACTGTGTAATACAGATCTGAATCATGAGGGACAAGATCCTGAAGGTGATGCTCATGAGTATTGGAGAACAAATAATTTATGTTAACAAAACTTATTCTGTTTAAATATTATCATCTTTATCCATGGATATCATATTCGTCAGTTTGCTAGAACTTTTGTCTAATTTGTGGCTCCTTTCTCTCAAAGATAAGCATATCAATCCAACAAGGAATAAGAAATCAAGTTAATGAAAGAAAACAGTGACATTTGATGCATTATCCTTTAAGTAGTGATATAGGTATACAGACGACAATAAAATTTCACTTGGTAAACTGTGGAGTATAAACTGAGATTGTTGATGACAAATGGTAGCATTCCCCACTGAAAGTACCATTAGAAACCCATCAAAAAAGGAGGCCATAAACACTTAAGTTTATAACGAACAAAGCAGAAACTAAAAGGATGTTGATAGAGATCACTGGACATATGCCATCCAAAATACATGGAGTGGACGACGAAATGAATCATTACCATCTTTCTCTGCAAGTGCTATACTCTGGATCTCTGAACGATGCGGACAGCGATCAACCAAAGACGAATTTACAACCTTCACTTAGGCAGTAAAAAGAAAGAAGTAAAAAAATCAGAAACGAACCACAAAACTTAGAGATGCCTGCTTTAATCATAAGTAGGAAAAAATTTCTTTTCACAGAAGTAACAAAAGCAGGGACATACAGAAGAAATGAAGATGACAAACAGACCTGTGCCTGAACAGGAATTAGGAGGCTCTCTTTTCCCTTGACAACGGTAGATTCTTCTGAGGATATCTGCTAAAAATGGCATGATTTATAAAATCTACGGACCAATTTAATCACCACAGAATAATAACAATGTGTTATTATCTATTTACTATGCATTAGTTCTCTTACTAAAACAGGCCATTTAACTTGTTGGTAGAAAATAGATGATAGTAGTTAACATTGTTTTTGAAGTATCATGCTGTTTCTTCCAAAGACTTATCATCCGTGGAGCATAACTTAAAAGTCAACTCATTTCATGTATGCCTCTTGACTCTTTAAGATGTGTAGTTTAAGATCATAAAAATCTTTAGCAGGTCCCTAATTTCCGGCTAAGCTAGCATATGGTCAAAAGAGAGGAGATATAATTAACAATTGACACAGCTAATTGCTAGATACATTAGTGCAATTAAGCTAAGTTTAAACACACAAACTTTTGGACTAAGAAGTGTAATACTAGTGTCCTGCACCAAAGTAAATCTAAAAACTAGAGTACAACTGTTCTCCTATTTATCTATGACAACAGATGCATTTAAACTGTAGTTCAATAAGCTCAGATTTGTATATATACCCAGAAACACTAAAAAATTAAATAGCCACCAAAACAATTAAGAATGGCTAAATTACCAAATTGGTATTTTTATAACCCCCTTAACCAGTTGGTATAAAAGTTTCTCCAAAGAGTTCTAGGTATTAAAAGTCCACTCATTCTGCAATTAGTCATTTTTCTTTATCACTGGTGAAGATTTGGAGAAAAGTTTTACATTTTTTTAAATTGCTGAGGTAGCACGAACATGTTGACATGACAAAAGTCATTGGGCCTCTTAAATTGGGTATGAGATTCAAATTTTAGGGCAAATAATAGGAATCGGTTTCAATTTAGGTTTTCTGAAAGGGAGGATGACAAGGGAAAACCGCAAACTGCTCAGGCGCAATCAGCCTGATCAATTAGATATCAGAAATTGCATTTGAAGCAAGAAAATAATGTCATCTTCAAGTTCCCAAGGTTAGATTTTCACAAATTTCCCGAATTTCAAAAGAAAAACCAAAATTAATGTCACATAAACCCTAACTTGTCAATTTCAAACACATTTACAGCAGAAAACTATGTTTTCATTCAATTAAATACTGACAACCATCATACTAACATCTCCAAAACCACATGTGAAGTAAAAAAATCTACAATTTGATATGTGCCACGTCATCTAAACCCAGTCACGTCAATTAAACAAAGCTAAATCAGCATTCTAATCCAAAAATCAAGTCACATGAGGTCACATAAAATTTTCCTGCCAAGTTTTTGTAAAAAAATCTACAATTTGATATGTGCCACGTCATCTAAACCCAGTCACGTCAATTAAACAATGCTAAATTACCATTCTAATAATCCAAAAAATCAAGTCACATGAGGTCACATAAAATTTTCCTGCCAAGTTTTTCCCCAGTGGCGAGAAAATGTTTAATTGCACATTTGGCGTACTATTAATGCAAGAAAGTCACGTTCAATGCCAAAATGCAAAAAAGTGGCCGACGAAACATTTAATACCAAACTGGTTAAGGAGGGTTGCAAAAAAGACAGAAATTTGGTAATTTAACGAATTAAGAATACTCCCTCTGTTAAGAAAAATGCATATATTATTCATCCTTTTCCAATAAAAGGAGATGCACATGTTTTCAAGGTTCCGAACAACTGCCGTACATGGACACTCATGTGTATAGGTGAGTATCATGTACAGTGTGCATCGCCACCTTCGCCATCACAGCCTATTCCTTTTGGTCCTCTTCTTCCATAATTCATTGTAAATCCATTTCTTTCTACAACTACCCTAATTAGTCTCAAATTTCGTCTCCGAATAACGAAAAGAATTCAAGCCAGTATTTATGAGATTCTACTACCATCAAACTGATTCGCTCTCAGATACTCTACTAAATAACTACGTTTACTCCAATTCTCTCAATGTAAAGTAAAAAATTATATTCAAATCAACACCCAAGAAAATCCAACAGAAGAAATGGGCGATGAGATGGGTAAGTACCTCGATCTTGTACACGTGGCATCCTGAAGCGACGAAGGCAGAGCAGGTGGAGGCGACATCATCGACCTAGATACAGAACCGAAGAGAGATTAGAAGTAGATTGTAAATTTAGGGTTAGGGTTTTGTTTAAGGGTTTAAGAGAGGTTACGTGGACGGCGAGGCGAGTGGATTGGAGATGACCAGGCGAGGGATTGGGGAGAAGAGATGAAGGGATTCTCGCCTTTCTCAAGCTCTTCGCCTCCAACATTTTTTTTCCCACTTATTAATCTGAAGGAGAAAAACCCAAGCCGGAATTTAATTTATTCTGCGAGAAACAAAAAAAATGCAAAGAGAGAGAGAGTGAGAGAAGAGAGATATTTATTTAAGCCAACAGCTTCGGTGCTCCGAAAATAATTTTGGGAGTGCCTATGTCACAAATTGTAATTAATCTCCGTAATTGTATATATCAACGTCATATTATTGTCGAGAGTCTCTTATCTAGAGCTTATGACAATAATAATCTCGGCATGAGACTTTTCCGGGTTTTGGTGTCTTGATGCCTATAAATTTGAGGGTTGAGCTATGTTCATATATAGTAATATTACTAAGAATTGTGAATTTAAATTTACCTTCACTTTCTCGGTTAAATATGTCTTCTGCAGATGTGAAGGTCGGTAGGGCTACTGAAGTCGCTATTATAGTTATTTGTTGATTGAAAGCTCCGATATCCCTTTTAGCCCTTCTTTTAATATTTTGATGTCATCCAACCTCTTCTTTTGGAAAGAGTAAGGGATACTGCAGCGAATCATAAAAGCCAAAATAGTGTTTCACTTGATGTCTTCCTCCTAAGTGTGCATGGGCAACTATCTCTCTCTCAAATGGTGCATTGTCATTATTTTCTTCAACCCAGATTGCAGCCACCTGATCTGCTGTTGGTGAGTTGTAAACACGTTGATCTAGTAGAACATTACTATTTATTAGTATCTTAAATTCTTCAAAAGATTGATAATCATTCAATTTGCGAAGGAACTTTGCATATGGGTTTCCTTGCAATATATCCATCAAGCTCTTAGTTATGATTTCACTCATATTTGCATTATCTAATATTCCCAATCGATTTTGCAACTCATTCTCTGTATCGTAGAAGTAAAGCTAAAAGTATGAAGGCTTATTTTCTTTTGGAATTAGAGCAAGGAGATTATGATATATTCGGCCTTGTGCTCTAAATGTAAAAACACATTTTCTATTTGATGCGAGCTTGATGCAAGAGATCAAGTCTTGGACAAGAAGAAAAACAGCCCAGTCGAGTCGAGCAGACAACTCGAACGACAGGATGAGTCTACACATCCCAGTCGATACGAAAGGCAGGACTACTCGACATACTTAGTCGACTCATGTCCAGTCGACACGAAAAGCGGTATTACTCGTGTCGACTCGAACTTCAGATTAGCAAAGAGTCCTTTGGGTTATTTCGTTTTAGATTAGGAAAGAGTTCCTTTTTTGTTATTTCCTTTTAGATTAGAAAAGAGTTCTTTTTGGTTATTTAGATTAGGAAAGAGTTCTTTTTTAGATTAGGAAAGAGTTCATGAAAATAAAAAAGGAACATACATGTTGAAGGAGATGAAGTTACTATGAAAATTATGTAATTTCTTGGTTTATATATAGGCATGAGGTGTTGCATATGATTGGATAATAGTCATAATTAGAGTTCTATTTGTACAAACATTTAAAATTTAAAACTTAGAATTTGATTAGGATTGTGTTTCTTTATTTATTTTGAATTTAGAGATGTTTATCAAGGTATGCCTTCGTTGTTCAAGTGCATTTGCAAAATTTCAACGCCCTAATATGTGTGAATGTGTTGCATAATACCAAGGTATGCCTTCGGATATTGATTAATAAGTCAGATTATATCCCACGGCAATATTTGATATAAAATTTTATGTGTCGAACTATTTTATGTGTGAATATAATGAAGAAAATATGATTTAGAGTGATAAAAGTTTTATGAGCGTAAGCGTCCAAATATCTTTATATGTTTGGAATCAATTAGAAAAATAGTGGCTTTGTCACTCGTCATTAGTCTCTAGAAAAATATGGAAAACTTTATTACTGTCTTTAACGCCTATGGGATTAGCCCTGTCTGGACCAAGATTGCTATTAGGGCATTAGCAAATTCTATGGGTAAAACATTATTTTGAATCAAGGTAATATTTTATTTTATGATTACATGACAAACTGATAATTTGATAAAAATCCAGATAATCCATGATTATCCAAAGCAACTGTTGCTTGACAAAATATTGTTAACAATAAAATTTCCATGATTATTTAAACCATTACTGGAAGGGTTTGCTTGTTGTTTGAATGAATTGCTCATGCAAAAGAAGGATGGTTCTCGCAATGGATGTAGTATTATATCATAGATAACACTTACTGCTCTAGCATATTTGTAAGGTTAAATCAAAGTATTGAGTGAATTAATTTACTTACAGTCATCATTAAATATTCTTAAAATATTCGTAAAATTTCATTGTTGTAATGTGAGTTCCTCCTCTCTCTTCATAATCTAGGTATACGTCTATGAAGACTAACTACAACGCCTTGGTATACATCTATGAAGACTAACTACAACGCCCATGTGTTAATTTTATTGATAGATTATTTGCTTCACATGTATAAGTGGATTTATATCATATTTGAAATGATAATTAAATATAAGATTAAATAAAAAAAATTAAAAAATAGAAAGGTATCTGTTTTCTATTTCGATTTAATCAAATAAAATATATAATCAAATAAACCCAAATTTAAATAATATCAAATATGAAGATTTACCTTGATAGATGGAGAACCTGCAACAATCAAATCCTTAATTAATCCTCTAAATACTGCATGAAAACTAAAGAAATTCAAAAAAAAAATTTATCAATTACCATAAAAACTAATTGCAGTGCAAAACAAGTATCATCATTAAATCAAATACACAACATTACTAAAGAATAATCATGAAAATAAAAAAAGGAACATACATATTGAAGGAGATGAAGTTACTATAAAAATTGTGTAACTTCTTGGTTTATATATAGGCATGAGGTGTTGCATGTGAAAGGATAATAGTCATAATTAGAGTTCTCCTTATACGAACATTTAAAATTTAAAAATTAAAATTTGATTAGGATTGTATTTCATTGTTTATTTTGAATTTAGAGATTGATTAATAAGTCAGATTATATCCCACGGCCATAATCTAGGTATACATGATATAATCTGTAAGTGGATTTATGAAGACTAGCCACAACGTGTTTGGTTTTCGAGTGCACATTCACACGTGATATAATCTGTAAGTGGATTTTTTTTTAAGTAAGTGGATTTATTTATAAGATACCTGATATTGTTTTTAAAATTGAAACATTAGATTTATGTCCTAAAACTTTGTAAGTGGAATAATGAAGACTAACTACACTTAAATTGAAATATTAGATTTATATCCTAAAACTTTGTAAGTGGATTTATGAAGACTAACTACACTGCCTTTGATTTTCGAGTGTGTGATTAAATTGAAATATTAGATTTATATCCTAAAACTTTGTAAGTAGATTTATGAAGACTAACTACACTGCCTTTGATTTTCGAGTGCGCATTCACACGTGATATAATCTGTAAGTGGATTTATTTATATTTAATAAGGAATGAATATGGAGATACAGGAGATCGAGCCCTGTACCTCTCGCGTGCAAAGCGAGCACTCCACCATTTCGTCTACATCCCCGCTGACGGAAAAGTCAAAAACATTTTAAGTGATCAACGATCTGTTATGTCCACTCGTTTTGGCCTTCAATTGATCTCGTTGGCCGTCGCGTGCCGGGCTTTACAGTTGTCCCTCCCTTCCCGACAAAAAATTGAAGCACCGAATTTTGCACACGACACGAGATGCATCACATTTAAGAGGGCCCTGATGACAATGCCACTGGGGAAATGAAATGCAAGTCTCAGGATGTCTTCACATCATGCAGGGTTACGTGATAACGAAAATTATGACAGATGATCAAGTTTTAGAATATTCGCTCCCTTTTTTTTATTAAATTTCCTTTCTTTTCATTCTTTCAAAGCAGTGCTTTTATACTTGCAAAATACTTACACAAGTGATTTTAGATCACAACCTGATACCACTATCAACAACTTGAAGAACCAAAGACCCTAGCGCACCGTAAAGTTTTTATCTACATAGAATTCATGGGCAAGCAAATATACCTGCAGATCACAATCCAAGTATACAAGGTACCCTAAGTCAGTTCACTTCTGATAGAAAATCCTGCAAAATTCAATAGATAAAACACCAAAACACTTCAAATATCACCACCAACACCACAAAAGAAAATCAACTCCAAAGTGATTTTTCCACTACCGCATCATCATTCACAACCACCTACAAGGAGAGAACAGCTGAACAACGTAGTCACAGAATACACAACCGATCCAACATATTTCAGCAAAACCCAACATAAATCAAACAGCAAACAACAACATACATTTTTCTTTCCGCCCTTACATTCCAACAAGTAACCCAAACTGATCAATAACTATTCACAAGCCAACTTGGTGTCAAAGCTGCTCAAGCAAATAGCAAACGCTTGGAAAGCAGACAACGGGTACCGGTAATCCATAGTGAACATATCCTTTGCTACCTTCCCAAACTGCAGTAAAATCTTATCATGGTCTGGCGGTGGAGGAGCTGCAGGCTGCGACGAAGGCACTGGAGCTCCGGCAGCTGGTTGCTCGCTCAACGCAATCAGCTGGAAGTTCTTGACCGAGGCAACGGTCACCCGACCCCTAAAGTTCAAACACCAGCACTGCAGCTGCTCGTGCCACCTCGGAGCTTTGTTCTTCAAAATCAGTGGCTTTGCTTTCCTCTCTGATTGCTCTCCGTTCTCGCGGACTATTGAACTGCTCCCTCCAATGTCAGAGAAGCGAGAGCTACTGAAATCCATGGATCGATCAAACATCACTGAAGATGAGGAACGAAAAGAGTCGTCGAGAGATGAAGGAAGCAAGCGTTCGGGTTGGCCAGGGACTGAGCCTCCAGGCTCTAGGGCTGAGGCAGGGATGGAGCTCATGAGACAATACATCCTGCGAGGGCCACGTGAGCCGAGAACGTTGAGCTCATAGGCAATCTCGGATATACTGTAGCTGCCCGATGGCACCTTTGGCGAAACTTTTCTGGAGTAGAAGCGGCGGCTTGACCTCCCTGGTGGGCAAAGGGCAGCAGTGCCATTATAGGGGGGCTGGGTGTCGTAAACAATGAACTTTGTACCGAGGAAATTTGACCTGATTGCAATAAGAAAAATTAAATTGAGCTTGGTGTCATCCGAAGATAAGATTCAGGGTTCTGAGAAAATTTAGTACCTCAATTTGCCCATGTAGTTGCTGCTTGATCTTGAAATGTTGTCAGCATCCATGGAGATTATGTACTCGGTGCAAGTAGTGCGACGGTTTCTTTTGGCTGATAGGAGGAACTTTCCATTCTCAACGAGTACCGCTAGAAGGTGGGAAAATATTGAATCAGCAATAAGGAGTAATATAGGGACAACAGAGGATGATCATGAAAGCATTTGCTAATATTGAAATACCACAGAAAGAGACATGCCCAAATCATGTTGAGGAAACAGTGATAAAAAATTGAGAAGGAAGAAAGATAGAATTTATAGCCAAGCATACTTCAATTGAAGCACATTTATCCATATCGTACTCATTTTGCTTAAAGTCAATGGAAACAAGGATTGCTGTTGAGCAGAACAGCATTCTTAAAGCAGCAAATCATCAAACTAATTACTAAGGCCACTAAAGTATGGACAATTTTCATATCAGAGCCCATGAGCGTTTCAAAGATAGTTTTATCATGAAAATAACTTGACAGACTCCTATAGTTGATATCATATATAAGTGACTGGGCTAAACTTTACGGACAACTTCAAGTGACGGAAAGCTAGCTTACCAGGGCTAAGACACAGGTAGAGATGGTAAGTCATTTTAGACTTGTCCCTCTTTATGAAGCATTGGATGGTTCCATCTCGAGACCCAGGCTGCAAGAAGAAAGAAAAATTTCAGAATATACAACTTGAAAGCATAGCATATGAAATTCTGACAATCATCATTAATTAAAGGCATAACAACGACGACAAAGCCTCTATCCCAAGTGTTTGGGGGCCGCTACATGAATCCTATTCTTCCATTCCGTTCTATTATGGGTCATCTCCTCTATTAAGCTAACTATAACCATATCCTTTTTAATTACTTCCAATCAAGTCCTTTTTAATTACTTCCAACCAAGTCCTTCTTAATCATTAAAGAAACACATAACAGGCAGAATTCAGTGTGGCTAAGAGAAGCAAACCAAATAAACATTAAAGATTTAGAAAATTATACCTGTTTCAGGGACACGGGGAACGTGAGCTTTCCAGATAACTCAGGACTTCTAACAATTTCTTTGCATGTCTCCCTCCATGCTCTGCAGACAGCAGCACAAGCAACAACATCCTTGCGTGAAGGCCATGTGCCTTCGCTTGCTTCCAACCTCTTAATCACATCACGAAGCAGCTCCGGTGGAATATTAGCCCATCGGCTATGCTGGACGACAGGTGGATCACCATGCAGTTCATACACAGATCCCTGGGATTTCCCCCTGTAATGGCCCGAGAGCTTCACCTCAAAACTCCTTCTTGATAAACTCCCAAAGCCATCTCGCACATCACGAACAATACTACGGAAAGACATCTACACTGTAACAGAATACAGTAGGCAGAGAAAGCCAGGATTAAACCCCAAGATCACACTCAAGCAGAAGTTTACAAAATCAGGATGAAGGACGTGATAGCCTCTGGATTGAACATACAAAATGCATCAGAAACAACCCAAAGAAAGAAGAAGAGAAATTAGAGAATGACATCTCATAACTTAATAAAAAAGATGCAAATTAATAAAAAGATTTTATTAGCAAACTAATATTTGTACCTTCCTCAAGACTTCATTCTAGATTGACATTTGAATAAGTCTTCCTAAGCTAGGGAGAAGAGATGCACTAGAGATAGTTCATCAATCCCTGCAGAATGAGAAAGAAGTTACTATGGTCAGAAGTGGAATGAGTACAAAATGGAAAACCTCACTTCTAACTGGAATTTTATAGGCTA